CTGGTTGTATACCGGACTATAATTTGTTCGATCTCTTTTTAATCAAGACAAGATTATATTTTTTCAAAAAAATAATCTTTTAGGGGTCGTTTGGAAGTTGTGATTGTTAAATAGATGTATTATTGTGAATGCACGTATAATATTATACATGTATTGTCGAATTGGATGCATTCTAAAATACAACGTTTGATATGTGTGTGTTGTGTATGTCACATCAACTAAAAGCTGAGAGAAAACAATCTCATCTCAACTAGGGATGGCAATGGGACGGGTTTGGGGAGGGTTTCCCTAAACCATCCGCATCCTCGCTTTTGAATATCCATACCCATCACGCCCCATACCCATGCGGGGAAAGGTTTTGCAAGCCCATCCCCATACCCGTAGGTTTCGGATACCCATGGATAATACTCGCCTCGTACATCCGACATTATAATACCTAAAATTGTACATGTAAATTTTCAATTATAACATCAAATGCACCTACTAGATCATCAATTTGACAAAAAGACAATCATTCATTATATGGCTCAAAGCATCTGATCCTTAAACATCCATTAATTTATAAGATATAGTACAATGTAATCCAAATCATTATTCTCTGACTTTGATACATCTACTAAATAAAAACTAACTAACATAATCTTGTTAACACTAGGGGTAAAGCCAAAGAGTGAAGGGAGAGTTGAGAAAAGGAATAAGGTTTTCATTTGGGTGGCCACTCAATTGCATTTCTACTATTTATTTTCTTGAGATACCCTCACTATCATTGATAGATAACAATTTGATCCAAGTATTTTTTATATGTGAAGAAATACTCTTGATGGGGTGGGTATGAGTATGGGTATGGGACGAGGAGGCTAAAACCATACCCGCCCCATACCCATCAAACATTTTGCGGGTTTTATCCATACCCACCCCATACCCAGTCAAAGCTTGGATTTCCCGCATCGACTGGGTCGGGTGCGGTCGGGTACCGGTGGGCAGTGGCGGATGCATGCATGTCCGGGACACCCCTAAACTTTGGAAACACGATTATTCAACCTCCGATAGTAGTTTACAATAAGCAAAAAAAAGTTTAAGTGGTAACGGGATTCCCTTAAATTTTGGGAAAATGATTATCCAACCTCTCGTAGTAGTTTATGTATTGGTACAAATAATTTTTAAGTATTAGTCTATGTTATTTAAACTTGGGACACTGTCATTATTAGTAAACCTATTTTCAATTACATTACCACTCATTTGTTATTGTGTTTTTTTTATGAATCAGTGGGTTTCATTCACCAAAAAGAGAGGTGCTAGCAACAAACTCTGCTAGCTAGGTATACTACTCATATCACAAAGACAGTGAATAAGCCTAAACACTCAAGAGCAGCAAAACATACAAAGATAGCTAACCATCCCAGAATAGGTGAACGCTATGACTACCTAGAAAACATTCAGTTTCAGATTGGATCACCCTCAACAATGTGTTATAATCCCTCACTTTAGCTGAGTACAAACGACAACACCGCTCCCTCCATATGTGACTTACCCATGCCTGCCAGATTATCCTCCCAGTTTCGGCAGCCTCAAAAGCACCTCCAAATTTGGACACCATCAAAGTCAACACATCATCCCACCCCTGCAATGAAGGAACCTGCATAAATCTGAAAAAAGGGTATCTAAAAGTTGTCTCACAAATGGGCAGAGAGCATAAATGTGATCTCTGTCCCAACTCCACACAAACCACAGGTCAAACTTCCACTATACCCCCAACGCTGCATCTTCACCTTTGTATTGATGCTCCCTCTAATAACAAGCCAAGTGACAATTCTATTCCTAGGAATGGCCTTCCCCTTCCAAACCAGTTTCCACCATCATACAGTCTGTTGAACAGGCCGCAGGAGTTGCCAAACCCGCTTGATAGAGAAAGCAGGCATAGGAGAGTTGTTCAGAAGGAGCAGACTCCCCTAACCGAAATAAAAGATGCATTCTTACCCCGCAGCTTCAGCATCTTATGCCAATTCCAGGACCCTGAAGTGCATGAGTAGCTCCAAAGATCCCTACCTTTCAGTTTGTCCTTGTTGATTCAAGCAACCCAAAGCGAACCAACCTGCATAAGAATCAGCCATAAAATGCCTAGTCATGTAAACCTGATTCCAACTCCACAGATCCCTGAAACCCATACCCCCTTCTTTTTTAGGATAGGTAACCTTCTGCCAAACTACATTTGCTCTGAGTTTCAAACTTGCTCCAACTCCCCATATGAAGTTACTGCAAATCTTTTCCACTTCCTTAATGACAGACTTAGGCAAAAGGAAAACTGACATCTAGAACTGAGTAAGACTATACAATACTGTGCCAACAAGCTCAATTCTTCCCGCATAAGAAAGTGCCTTTGCTTGCCAACTTTTTACCTTCTTAACCATTCTATCAATGAGAGATTGACAAGTAGACAAACTAAACTTCCCTGATATCAGGGGGAACCCCTAGATAGCGAACAAGAAACTCACCAAGCTTATAGCCATATCTAGCAGCCCTGATTTGCCTCTCTGCACTTTCAATTCCCCCAAAAAAGACCTCACACTTGCTAGGATTAGATTTAAGCCCAGAATACCTCTTAAACTGATCCAGAACTCGTTGCAATTCTTGAATTCCATTGTTTTGAGAAGACCAAAAGATCATCCGCAAAGCATAGATGTGTAAGCTTAATACCTTTGCACATAGGATGATATGGGAAAAGACCAATAGCAGCTGATTGATCAATTAAGCATGTAAAAACCTCCATTGCAATGGAAAACAGATAAGGGGACAGAGGGTCTGTTTGTCGAAATCCTTTCCTAGTTGGGAAGTAGCCAACAAGCCCCCCCCCCCCCCCCCATTGAAACAAACACTTAACATAGGGGTTCCAACACACATACTGATCCATTTCACAAATCTTTCAGGAAATTTCATACATCTTAACACTTGAAAAATGAACTCCAAGTCAGCAGAGTCAAATGCCTTCATAAGATCAATTTTAATGGCACATCTCGAAGAGATATTCTGATGAGAATATTTATGAACCAACTCATGAGCCAAAAGAATGTTTTCACCAATAAGCCTTCCTTTAACAAAAGCAGTTTGATTTTTACTAATCAGAGAAGGGAGAAGAGAGCTAAGCCTATTAGCAATGAGCTTAGATATGCACTTATATAGTATATTGCAATGGAAATAGGCCGAAAGTTCTTCATCTCATTAGGGTTTGGGACTTTAGGAAGGGAAAGGATGGTGGCATTCATTGGTCTAGGGATTCTATCATGTTCAAAACAATATTTAATAGCAAAGGTTAACTCAGGTCCAATAAGAGGCCAGGCATACTGAAAGAAAGCCGCAGAGAAACCATCAGATCTTGGACTCTTGTCCCCATCCATAGCAAATAAAACATCCTTGATCTGGTCATCAGAAAAAGGATCACACAACCTCTCAGTCTGCTCATCACTATGCTTGTTTTTCAGCAAATTATCAAAGTAACTTTCTGACTGTTTCATAACCTTAAGATCAACCACTCCCAAAAGAGACTCATAAAATTTGACTGCAACTTGAGCCATCTCCTCAAAATCATGAATTTGATCCCCTGTCTCATTTCTCGTCATTCTAATAGTGCTTTTCTTCTGCTTTGATCTGACTGGCCGATGAAAATAAACAGAGTTCATATCACCTATTTTAAGCCAACTCTCTCTTGATTTCTGTTTGTAAAAACACTCCTCGACATCCATTAAAACTTTTAGCTCCTGCCCCAGCTTCCTTTCAACTTCAAAGTTAATAGTAGAAGGGTCACTGAGAGCCAACTGTTGAATACTTTGCACCTCAGCTTCCTTCTCCTTTACTCTTTCTCTGATATCAGAGTACTCTTCTCTATTCAACTTCCTTAACAAGTTCTTAAGGTTCTTCAGTTTTTGGAAAACTCTTATCAAAGGATGATGACTAGTTACTTTACTTCTCCAAGCCTCTTCCAACAATGCATCAAAACGAGGATGATGAATCCAAAACTAGAAGAACTTGAACGACTTTGGGAGAGATTTTAAAGAGGCTGATGTATCAACAATCAGAAACACCTGGAGTTTGGAAATGAACTTTACTCTCCTTAACCTTATCCATCCAATGAAAATTAATCAAGACTCGATCAAGACGCTTAGCAATAGGGTTAGCTGTCTGCTTGTTTAACCAAGTGAACCAGGGACCAGTAGCCTGATGTTCTTCCAATTCATTGTCAATTATCCATTCATTAAAGAATGTCATTGCAACATCTACTTTGGGGGAATTTGAAGCCTCAGCAGGGATCCTGATATCATTGAAATCTCCCAGAATGATCCACGGAGCAGAAGAGACTTTGATCCTCCTGAGGTCATTATATAGAATTTTCCTACTACCCTCATCATTTTACGCATAAACAACAGTGCCAAAGAAAGGTTGTATCCCCCCAACCGTAAACTGAATGAATTGTTCTAAAGAATGAAGAACAGTAAGTTGTACATCCTTCTTCCACATCAGCCAAATCTTCCCTAGACCATCCTGGTTATGCTTCACCTTATTCTTCCAATTTGGGAACCGCTTAGCTATCAACTCATTTGTCTCACTACTCTTGATTCTAGGCTCAAGTATGGCAACTATATCAATACTATATTTATTATTTTTTTTTAATAATGTTGTATACTTACTATTAGCCTTAAACCCTCTTGTGTTCCATGTAAGAATTTTCATCTCTTCCCTCTGCCTTTTTCCCCTTTCCCTTTTCTAGGTTGAAGAGGAACCAACGGAGAGTCCACCCACACTTTTTCCCCTTTGTCAGGAGGTTTCCTGTTCTCCTTGCCCAGATCTTCTCCTTGAGATTGATGAATCAACAAGCTCCCAGATTCTAGTGACTTGCTAATTTCAACTAAATGCTCACTAGCAGGGGGACTCCCACTCCCTGGTGGTGATCCTCGCACTATCTAAGCAAAACTCAGTGGAGAAGTCCCAGTAGAATTAGGAGCCAAACTCTAGGGAACACTTGAGGTTAGAACCGCCTCCATACCAGCTTCCATCGCACCTGGAGCCACACCAGAACCTGAATGCGCACTAATTATCTCCTCATCCTTACTAGCTTCACAGCTCCCCAAAAGTGCCACATCCTCATTCCCCTCTGCTTCTCCTGGAGAAATAACCTCTGTAGAAGCACTCACAGCTACATTACCCGTTTCTTCCCCTGTCACAGCAGCAGCATCTTGAACTTTTTGCTGCATTTGAGGTTCTTTATGACAGGTATGACCAAAAATACAACACTTAGGGCAAACCCTAGGAAGTTGCAGATACTCAATTCCAATCTCGAAATCCGGATCATTGTCTGGATACAACCGGATTCGAGTGGGAAACTCGCTATCAGCTGCTAGCTCAATACAGACTTTTGAAAACCCTAACTGAGCCCCAAATCGAGTCTTTTGATCAGTCCAAAGCAGCCGCCCAATTGTACAGTCAACCCATTCAATCCCATCCTGCCCCAAATACTCTAGAAGCAACCCCCAAATCTTAACCCAAATCGGCAGGGTTTTCACTTTCGTAACAAGAGGCTGGATACCCGCTTCCCATTTACGAAAGGAGACCAGATTCCCCATGAAGTGCCATGGCCCCAAATTGAAAACCCAGTCACAAGATGCTATCGACGGAAATTGAAAAACCAGAAGTTTAGGACCAAACCGTGAAACACGAACCATGCCATCTCTTCCCCAAAGACGGTTTGCCCAGGACTGGAGCTCCGTTACCTTTGGACACTTCCCGACGAGCTGCCCAATTAGAGACAGTTTCCATCGCTTAGCGCCCTTCTCCTTTACCGCCCGAGGGATCCGAAATCCATCCTTGACTCTCTCAGGAGGATGATATACAAGTCTCTTCTCCGGCGCCACCGAGAATAGTTGAGCCCAGGAAGAAGAGGAACCCTCGCCAGCCGGCGCTAGGGCCGACAGCGAGGCTGCCATCGCGAAAGTAGGGTTTCAATTCAGAGGACGAGGAAAGGAGAGAGAAAGGAGGAGAGAGAAACTGTCAAACTTGTTATTGTGTTTTAGATCCAAATATAATAGTACAATGTTATTCTTATCCCGAATTATTTTCAAATCTTAACGATTGAACCCAATTACCGGATACCCTTGTCTAATAGGATATGTCGAGAGATATTTGTTGAGCAATATAGACGCCGGATGTATTTTACCATTTACGAAACACGTATGAACTTTTCATGGAACTTTTATTATTAAGATATTTTTATATTTAATAATTATTTAATTTAATTCTAATATTTAATTAAATTAAATTTATGGGAGAGGACACTCCTGTGTAGAATTTTTGGATCCGCCACTGCCGATGGACATGGGTTTAATTGTCATCCCTACTCTCAACAATCACAACTAAAAGCTGAAATATAACAATCATACATTTTGAGTAATATTTTTGTCACATCACAGAAACAATCATTCTTTAAAAAAATAAAAAAAATGATACATTCTAAACAATACATATATATTAAGAATCTCATCAAGATAATTGCAACGACATCTTAATGAATTTTCCACCGTGAATAATTGGAACTTCCAAATTGCACTATAGGCGTTTGTACCTATAATTTCCAAAGTAAAATGTAGCAAACATAGAATAAAACGAGGTGGAGGCTCTCGCGATTGGCGAATTAGGATGCAAAAACTCTCGCGCTCCAAAACACGACAGTGGGAATAAATAAACAAATAAATAAAACTAGCCAAGCCAACACTACAGACAACAATTTCTTCTCAGTTCTCAGTTACCCCATTGACACGTGACTTTCTGATTCCCACTTAGAAAGAAAAATAATCGATACATACATACAGCTGCTTCCCACTCCTCAACGCAACAAACTCTCTCTCTCCCTCACTCACTCTCACTCTCTCTATCCCTAAACCCCCGCCGCCGCTCCTCCTCCGCCGTCGCCGCTCTCTCCTCTGAAAAAAGTTATGAAACCACCGCCATTTCCACCATGCCCTTAACCAACCCAACCCCAAGCCGCTCCGGCCGCCTCATCATCTCCTCCTTCCTCTTCCTCCTCCTCCTCCTCTTCTCTCCGGCCACCGCCGCACCGGAACCCGACGCCGTCTCCCTCCTCTCCTTCAAGTCCAAAGCCGACTTGGACAACAAGCTCCTCTACACCATCAACGAGCGCTTCGACTACTGCCAATGGCAGGGAGTGAAATGTGCCCAGGGGGGCAGAGTCGTCCGTTTCGTCCTCCAGGGCTTCGGCCTCCGCGGCACCTTCCCTTCCGCCACGCTGAGTCGACTCGACCAGCTCCGAGTCCTCAGCCTCCACGACAACTCGCTCTCCGGCCCGATCCCTGACCTGTCCCCGCTCGTCAATTTGAAGTCTCTCTTCCTCAGCGGGAATTCCTTCTCCGGGAATTTCCCTCCTTCCATTCTCCTCCTCCACCGCCTCACCGTCCTCGATCTCTCCCGCAACAGCCTGACCGGTCCGGTCCCGCTCGGATTGTCCGGGTTGGACCGCCTCAACTCCCTCCGCCTCGAGTGGAATCGCTTCACCGGAACCGTCCCGCCTCTCAACCAGTCGTTCCTCGTCAGCTTCAACATCTCCGGGAACAATCTCACCGGCCAGATACCCTTCACCCCGACGCTCTCCCGCTTCGACACGACGGCGTTTCTGCTCAACGCGCCGGATCTCTGCGGCGAGGTTATCAATAAGGCTTGCCCTTCCAACCGCCCTCCCTTCTTCGAGCCGTCGTCGCAGGGGAACGCCACCTCTCCGGCGGTGGCTTCTTCTTCTGCCCCGCTCAACCAGAGCGCGGAAGCGCAGTCCGGAACCGCGGTCTTGGCGCCTCCGGCGCGGAAGCGTCGGAAGGTAACCGCCGTTTTAGTGTTGGCCGCCGGCGCTTCCCTGCTCGCTCTCGCCGTCATGTGCGTCTTTCTGGTCCAAGCCAAGAGGAGGCGCGGGAACCAGAGCGAGCACGCAGCCGCGGAAGCCAAGCCTCCACCTCCTCCGACGAATTTCTCCGGCTCCGGGCAGCAGGCAACTACTGGAGGGAAGTCCTCGGAGAAGAGCGGAACCGCCACGGCGGCTGCCGCGGCGATTGTGAGTTCGGAATCGAGAGTAGGGTTTGGAGGGAATCATCGGAGCGGGAATCTGGTGTTCTGCGGCGGAAGAGAAAATCAACATTCCCAGCAGCAAGGGTATAATCTGGAGCAGCTGATGAAAGCATCGGCGGAGCTGCTGGGAAGGGGAAGCGTGGGGACAACGTACAAGGCCGTGCTGGACAACCAGCTGATTCTGACGGTGAAGCGTCTGGATGCCAACAAGACGGCCATTACCGGCAGCGAGGCGTTTGAGAAGCATATGGAGATTGTGGGTGGGCTGCGGCATCCGAATCTGGTTCGAATCATGGCTTACTTCCAGGCAAAGGGTGAAAGGCTGGTGATTTACTCTTACCAGCCCAATGGCAGTCTCTTCAATCTCATTCATGGTAAAAGTTCAATTTCCCCTCGTTCCTTTTTCTGTCTGTGCTTTTCCATTGATTATTGAGTAGCGGGCACTGCATTTCTTAGTCTGACTAGTGTTCTTGAGTGAGACATTATTCATTCTGGTAATGAGTGGGCCAATACTGTTAGTGATTACTGATTACCACTTTAATCATCAAAACCATTCATCAAGATATTGTAGTGTTATCATTACACTATTCATCTCGAAGTGTAGCTTTCATCTGTCTGAACTCTCTCTGGACCCTCTGTAAACTGCAGCACTGTGGCTATATACCATATATAGTCAGTCAATCAGTCTTGTCAAATTAACAGTTTTGGACTTGGGAAAAAAGATCCAGTATTGTGGCTTTATTGTGGGTGGTTCATAGTTCAGATTTCAGACAGTGAATTTATGAGTCTTTTTCTCTACTGTCTAATAAAACTGCAGGTTCCAGATCAACGAGAGCAAAGCCGCTTCACTGGACATCCTGCTTAAAAATAGCAGAAGACGTGGCTCAAGGTCTAGCCTACATCCACCAAACCACGCAGCTAGTCCACGGCAACTTGAAATCCTCCAACGTCCTCCTCGGACACGACTTCGAGGCCTGCATTACGGACTACTGCCTCGCAGCCCTCGCGGACACCACTTCGTCAGTCGATGACCCTAACTCGGCAGCGTGTAGAGCTCCGGAGACCCGCAAGTCCTCCTCTAGCAGGCGGGTCACGGCCAAGTCCGATGTTTATGCATTCGGGGTGTTGTTATTGGAGCTCCTGACTGGGAAATTACCATCTCAGCATCCGTACCTTATGCCTGCGGATTTGCTGGACTGGGTTCGGGCGATGAGGGATGAGTGCGATGGCCGGGAAGATAACCAGCTGGGGATGCTGACCGAGGTTGCGAGCTTGTGCAGCTTGACCTCTCCAGAGCAGAGGCCAGCGATGTGGCAGGTGCTGAAGATGATCCAGGAGATTAAAGACAGCGTTGTGGTGGAGGAGAGTGTGAGTATTGGGTATGTATAGAGGAAAGGAAGACAAGAAAAGAAAAGGGCAGGAGAAGGGCAGTGCAGGCAGGGATGGTGGAATGAGAGCAAAGAGACATTGTTGAATTGGGATCCATTTCTGATGGATGGAAAGAATATGGTTGTTGGGAGGAATGGAACGTTATTACATGGCGTGTTGTCTTTCTTTGCCTTCCCCTGCTTCTGGTTGGGAGGGGGCTTGATTTTTGTTGTAAAGGCTTTGTTGTATCATTCCTCTGGATTTTGGACTCACTGCGCTAATTGATTTAGGCTTGCTTTTTCCTCCTTGTAGAAGAAATTTGCTTGCTGCTAATTCCTCTCTTTTTTCTGGTAACAGAGAACCTTCATCTGTAGTTGACATTTTGGTTGCAGGCCAAGCTCCGGTACACAGTCGGTTGGCAGTCGCTCGGGGAGGGGGTGAATAGAGGTAGTTCATGCATCCATGGCCATCCTGCAAGGATCAAACACACGATCTCTCGTGTCGTGTGACGAACTACCAGTTGATGTGTCTAAAGTCTAAACTGGAGATAGAAATAATTGTATGATCATGGAAATATGATACAGTAAGTCTAAAACTGAAGGGATAATTTGCTTGTATTGTATCCTCATGGAGTATGATACAATAAGGGTTATGCTTACATAACTTATGCCAGAATTTATTCCCTTCAACAGGAAGGGAACAAAGAATTATGATACATAACAACAACAGTGAACGGCCATCATCTAGGTCGATCCAGGGTTACAAAAATGATACATAATGGTACAACAGTGGATTGATCCAGGGTTGTGAGTAAAGTCTTACACTGGATGCAAGCACAACGATGGTTAAGTTGGTCTTTTTTACTTTCTTTTGTCATTCTTCTCTTCCCGTCTAATGAGAAAATGACAAGCGTGATGAATTCTGATTGGCAAGTGCTATATCATCTTTGCGTAATCAAGCAGCTCAGTACTCAATGGACAGTTACCACAGTTGATGATGACGCTGAAAGAGCAATGGCAACAACCTGTTCTCTCATCATTTGCTCCTTAAAGAGTACCATTTTTCTGGGCCTCGCTTAGAGTTAACAGCTTCACTAGCTCAACTAATCGATCCTTGATGTCCTTTATCTCCATCTCTCTTCCCCACAACCGACACCTGTTGATAAAAGGAGTATTATAACTACATTTACCAGCAGAAGAGAAGCTCACAGTCCCAAGGAAAGAACATACATGTTCCATGCAAATGTACCATAAACCAGTTCTATTCAGATAAGTGATAACCCTAAATCGAGTGAATTAATGGATATGTTCAGGAACCAGTCCATGAATCATTTGACCGCAGTCAGGGTGGTTAACCGATTACCAGTTATCCGAAAACCATTATAAGTACACGCAATTCTGGTTTTGGTTCTATGTAAACGATTTTCCGGTATCACAACTGGAAATGTGATGAGTGCAGGACGTGGTTAGTAGTTGGGCTTGGGGAGGGTTTAATTGTTCATGTTTGTTAGTTACGTACTATGGGCATGGGCTTTAGGGGGGGGGGGGGGGGGGGGTATTGCTGCCGTGTTCGGCTAGGATAGGGAGAAGGGGGTTGGGTCGGCTAGGGTAGGAAACTAATAGGGTTGCGTACTATATAAATGTAAGTTCGGCATTAGTTCGGATTATGAGAGCATAAACCTAAAAACAGTCTTTCGACACTTTACGTCGTTCTCCCGCTTGTGATTTACCAGCAAACTCCCGAACAAGAGTTTCGGTTCATCAACTTGGTATCAGAGCCTGGCGCGAATGTTGGGGACCGCGGGCGAGCGTTGTACAGCCTTGGAGGCCGCGCAAGAGCAGACCAATGTGATCCTGACGACTTTGGCCCAGCGCACAACTACGTTGGAGGGCGCGCTGCAGGAGGTGGTGACCCAGCTGCAGATGTTGACGGTCGAGCAAAAACAAACCGGGGAGCTACTACACCGTCTCATGACGAAGGAGCTGGGGAAGGAGCCGATGACGGAGGCCGCGTTCGACGGCAGCGGGAGCGCCACCAAAGACGGCGCCAAGGAGGACCCCAAGGCGGCCGGCGCGATGAGCGGCACCGCGTCCACCGAGCCCGGACGCGACCGCGGCGGGGGTAGGGAACGGCCGGGCAGCGGCGACCGCGGCAGCCATTGTGACCGTGGTGGCGGTGAGTATCGGGGGAGCGGGGGACCCAAAAGCTCCGGCGGAACAACCTTCCTAGCAAAGTTAGCTCGGTTGGAATTTCCGAAGTTCATGGGAGACGATCCGGGAGCGTGGTTTCCACGGGTGGAGCAGTTTTTTGAATATCAAGAGGTTCCAACTGATCAGAGAGTGTCGTTGGCTGCGTTTCATCTGGAAGGTGAAGCAAATCAATGGTGGTAGTGGCTGAAGCGAACGTATAAAGATACAGGCGAACCCATTACGTGGGAACTATTTACGCAAGAATTGTGGGCTCGATTTGGGCCAACGGAAGGCGAGAGCTGCGACGAGGCCTTGTCGTGCATCCGGCAGACCGGGTCGCTGCGCGAGTATCAACGGGAGTTTGAGAAACTGGTCAATTGCTGCATGGGGTGGACGCAGCAGGCACTGGTGGGTACCTATCTCGGTGGGTTGAAGCCGGAAATCGCGGATGAGATCAGGATGTTTCGGCCACACACTTTGCGAGATGCCATCAGCCTAGCTAGGATGAAGAATGATCAGTTGCAGCGGGCTAAACCGGCAATTCGAACTGGGGCGCCATCAGGGGGTACGGGTGCGGCGAATTATGGTGGCGGTGGAAACGAGCCGAGAACTGCAAGCTCGGGGCCAGTGATAGGAGGGGGACCTGTTCGTGGACTGACTGGAGGGAAGCGGCTGAGCTGGGAAGAGCAGCAATTGCGCAGAGCCCAGGGACTCTGTTTCAATTGTGACGAACGCTTCACCATTGGGCACAAGTGTAACGGGGCGAAGATTAGGTGCTTGTTCGAGGAAGAAGAATTGGAGCACCAACCTTGGGGACAAGGTTGAAATTAAGGGGGGGGGGGGGGGGGGGGTGGAATGATGAGTGCAGGACGTGGTTAGTAGTTGGGCTTGGGGAGGGTTTAATTGTTCATGTTTGTTAGTTACGTATTATGGGCATGGGCTTTAATGGGGGGGGGGGGGTTATTGCTGCCGTGTTCGGCTAGGATAGGGAGAAGGGGTTGGGTCGGCTAGGGTAGGAAACTAATAGGGTTACGTACTATATAAATTTAAGTTCGGCATTAGTTCGGATTATGAGAGAATAAACCTAAAAATAGTCTTTCGACACTTTACGTCGTTCTCCCGCTTGTGAGTTACGAGCAAACTCCCGAACCGAGAGTTTCGGTTCATAAAATGGTGAGATAAACCTCAACTTAGAGGAACTAGTTCCACAATGGGTTCATTATTAACGGTGAGCAAATTTGGCCAAAAAACAAACATGAAACCCTGCTCCATACCAGTAATAAAAGCAAAAGGTGGATGGGGAAAATTTCTATTAGGAATAGAGGCAACCTTGCCTCAGAAAGTTGTACAGACATGGCAACGAGCACATCTGTAGATAGAGTCAACATATTGCCCAGGTAAGCTATCCGATCCAATTTTTAACTTGGTAACGTCAATGCCGAAATAATTGACTGAAACCAGAAAATATTTGAAAGGCAAAATACACTTCCATAGTCAAAACTTTGACGATTTTGTCAATAATAGCCACTTTCTGATAAATACACAAAATAGCCAATACAAGTCTCAGTCGTCATCATAGGTTGCACATAATCTCAGGAAAATCATCCATAGACAATGCTAATAACCACGAGATTCAAAACAAATCACCACAAGGTGCCATTATGATCATGCAATTGTAGAAGTTGTTATGCTTGGAGCCCTCAATTTTTGAAAATTTGGGCATACAACTAGGCTGCAAGCATTCAAAATCACACCAAACATTCACACACACATGCATAATGGACTACCCCCCACACTTAAGCTCGACATTGCCCTCAATGGTGTAAAAGAAGGGAATAGAACGATGTTACCGGTCAAGTTGTGAATGGTGATGCTCGGGAGTGGAGGGCAGGTGAGATCCGGAAGAGCAAGATGACGGCAAAACACAACCAAAATCTCTCCAATGGTTTTCTTATTGAATGGAAAAGAAATGCCAACCGTTGATGGTTGGGTTGCCTCCCACCAAGCGCTTCTTTAACGTCGTGAGCCAGACGGTTGATCTTCAAGTTTCAGTCCACCCAAGAACCTCCTTGAAGTTGAGGTTATCGTCGGTGAGGTGATGTCTCAAGTCACGAGCATTGGACGAGTCCATGATTGAGGGCTCGTGAGCTTGAGTGGCTTTGAGGCTCCCCCCACAAGACCTCTTCTTCTTTCCTTCTTCTTTCTTCTCTTTGCCCCATACCATGTAGTGCAAACTCAATTGGTTTCCATCGCATCCACCAAGAGGGATCGCCGATGGTTTGGCCTTGGCTTGGCAAAGAGCCGCAAATGTGTCCTTCTCCAAAAGCGCGTCGAGGTCGGGTGGAAAGCTTTCATAGCCCTCGTAACTTGTGGATGCTTCATCCACCCCGACCTCGTCCTCATCTCGGACTCCACTTGATCCTTCAACTTCTTCTTCAACCTCCCTTCCTTCTTCACTTTGTTCCTCCCCTTGGGAACACTCAAGATCTTCCCCCTCTTCAATGCTTTCTTCCTCCTCTTCAACCTCTTCTTCCTCCTTGCCATTCATGTCTTCAAGCACGCTTTGGAGGGCAAGGTGCCATGCAAGATCATAGAAAATATTATCTTGCTCCTCCACACTCGTGTCTTGGTCTTCAAAGTTGCTTTTGGGAAGGGGAAAGTGATGGGAGTCATCAATGCAACCTTTTTGTTCATCCTCACCACGGGAGCTCTCCTGGATGAGTTCTTCTTGATCCACACGGTTGTCATTGATTGCTCCTTCAACCTCCTCTTTCTCCTCCAATAATGATAGGCGATAGCTTTCACAAGCTCACTCCACTTTCTCTTCTAGTGCCAAACTGGGAGGAGGGAGGTGAAAATCCATGTTGAAGCTCATTATTCCAAATTTCTCATGGCTCGCTTCTTTGACTTCCTCTCTTTCTTCCAATGGTAGGAGGCGATTGTGAGCAAGCTATGCACATGCTTGCTCAACAAGATCTCCTTGCCTCTCCGTGCGTTGACGGAGCTCCTCCGATTCCCGAAGAAAGGTTGAGTCGTTAGGGTCGGTGATGGGAAGATCTGAATTGGAGCATCCTTCGTCGGTACCTTGGGCAAATTGCTCCACCATGAGCTCCCAGTTTCTCTTTGGCTCCGGTTGTTGAGTGGCACATGGTCTTGATGATTGTCCCATGAAGGCTTCAATGGCCAACTCCAACTTGGATTTCTCATCGGGTTGTTGAGGGAAATCTTCTTGATATGGGGAAGCCTCTTCATATCCCCAATGGTATGGTTGTTCGTCTTGGAAGGGGTGTTGGTAATAGAACCCGAATCCTTGGCTTCCCCCTTCTTGTTCACTCCATGAAGCTTCCGGGTACCCCCATTCGGGTGGTTGTGGATACCCCCACATGTTGTAGAAGTCAATGTGATCCATGATTGAACCTACATAAACAAAAACACAAAAACAAAATCAAACAAACACAAACCACCCTTCAAGACGAAGAGTGGGTAAACAAAACACAAAACAAAACATAAACAAAAAGGCAAGATAGAAAATGCTAGATTAACACTAAGCGACCTTTTCTAAATAATGGACCGCGGTTCCCCAGCAACGGTGTAAAAAAATTGACTAGCATGAAACTACACCACAAATTAATCCCGACTAGAGCCCAAGTTTTAAACTCTAGTCGGGTGCAGTATAGAGCAAGTATTTAAATTGTCAACCCGGGGCGGTCCACGTACCCCTACTTCAATCGCTTAAGTTGTTATCGAGCAAAACGGCTTTGGGTTTTAAAACTAAGAAAACTACAAACTAAACTAGAAAGGAAAAGTCTAACTAAGGGCGCTTCACCCGGGAGTTGCTTCCCCCTAACTAGCTACCATGACTCGTTGGATTGAATGAAGTCGTGAGAGGTAGGTGGTTGTGAACCTCGGGGGTGAGCAACTAGTGATCAATCTGTCACGACATCAATTCACTAGCGATCGATTTGTCACGAGATCGATCCACTCACCAGATCTAGGGGAAACACTAGGTGGAGAAACTAGTGATCCATTTGTCACGGGATGGATTCACTGGAGGTCGATTTGTCACGGGATCGATCCTCTCACTAAGTCACTATTGGTTTCCTGGGTCTTTCCCTCAAACCAGAGTTTGAGCGGCTTAATCACAACCAACCTAGATGCAAACTGCAAATCGCGAACCGCAGAGAAAGAAAGTGTTTCTTCTCCAAAAACCAACTCCCCTTTCTCTCTCCACGTTGCTGTCTTCATATTTTCCCGAAAGCGATAAGTTCACGGACGCGTTGGCCAGTTCACGGTCGTGAACACCTAAGCGCGTCCGTGAACTCACCATCGACCAAAACGCACCGCTTCACTCGCCTGGGTTCACGGTCAATGGCCCAGTTCACGGTCTTAGAGATCGTGAGCTGCCTTGTCATCGGTAACTTCAAGAACCTCGCTGGACTGCTCGATGATCACGGTTTGTGGTCCATGTTCACAGTCTTAGGAGACCGTGAACTGCCTTGTCCGACCGTGAACTGCGGCTGTTTCCTGGGACGCCTTCACTTCACTACTACGGGGCAATTGTCACGGTGACTTCAGACTTTTCTTCGGTTTTTGCGCTTTTCGACCTCTAAATATCCCAAAACTCGTCCCCGACCCTTCCACGCGTGCTAGGACATGAAATGCATAAAAACAAGCACAACTTAGTGTGAAATATGTCGAGGAACGATGAAATACTAAGCTAAACGAATAAGAAATGAGGGGTAAAATGTGTACATTTGAGCCTGAATCATCTTAGCGGACCGTGAACTTCCAAGGAAAACCGTGAACTGCCAGTTTTTCACATCGTCTCCCGGTTTTCGCTCCTTTTCGTCCAACTTTTGACTCCGGGGCTAGTTTCACCTGTTAAATCCTAAAACATGTTAAAAGACAAGAAACCTCGCGTAAAACCACCCTTTTAGGAGCACAATTGCCACAAACGCTTAAGGAAAACGAGAGTAAAATATGTACAATTAGGCCCGAATCATTATTCCTTGTACTTAATTATTTTTACCATTAAACCAAATTAAGAACATACATTTAAATTATCTTCAATTATATAAATGACATCATAGTTAGTACACAAATAAAATAAAATTCATATACGATTAACTCAATCTTGTAAATATTTAATATTTTAGATAATTGTTAATTTTAAATTGAGGTGACTCTTAACCTCCCACAACACCACTATGCGTCCAATATCTAAATATCCACTCAAACGTGGTTACTAAGTCGTTCACCTCTACAATCTCATTCCAATCGATGTTCCTCGACTATTCATAATCACTAGAGTGACTTTAACGTAACTCTCTATTGATGGAATGATAAGGAAAATCATTAATCATTTGGTAGGATGTATTGACAATAATATCTTTGGTAGTTTATATGAAGAACATATATTTTAAATTTTATATATAGTGAAAAACGTTGTGAGTCACTACATAGGATTAATTCTCATATAAGATATATTTATTTTAATTAAGAAAATGGCAACCCCTTGCGTAAATTCTTAGCTACGTCACTGGGAGCCAAAGAAGTCGACGCTGCTGCTTGTCGAAGGCTGTCGGGGAATCATGGGCGGACGAAGGAAATGGTAGGAGGTGGCGTTGGTTCCATAAAACAAATTTTAGGAATTTATTATTATTATAATAATCTTTCCATATTTTCGAGTTAAATCGAGCTAAAATGGGTGACTTATTAATCCATGACCTACTAGTTCGATCTGGTCCGAATCGACCCGCGGGTTGACAAACTTACTCATTTGAGCATCTCCATCGCCCACTCTTTCCCAATTGCATTATGACGTGGTTAGTGGTTTTGCAATTGCAACTCCAATTTTATTGAGAGCATCTCCATCGGTCACTTTTTGCAATTGCAAAGTGACGTGGAATGCTTGCAACCGTAATTGCGCTGTTGTAGGCCTCAATTGCACTTTTGCAATCTTGCATATAATGCAAGTGGAAGTGAAAGCCAATATGGCTATTTTTATGGGAAGGACCGGTTGTTTTCTTCTTTTTTATTTTTTATTTTTTCCTTTTTGTTTTTGCTTTATATGTGGAATTAAATCACATATGCAATTGCAAATGAATTGCATTGATGTAAGTATAATAAAAGTAAAATGAGATGGATTGCAAAATTTTTAAGTTGGCAACAAAAATAACAAATGCGCAATTGAGTTTACAATTGCATTGATGTAGATGCTCATGTGGAAAGTTTTGCAATTATGCAAGCTTTCATAATATGAAAGTCTAATTGCAATGCCACGTAGTAGTGAGGCGTTTGTTCTTTTTTTCTTTTTTTAATGCTATTTAAAGACCCAAATATAGGTGTGATAAAGAGATTTTATATGTAATTGTAAGTTAATTGCACAAATGTAGGTAGAATAAAAGTAAAGTGAGTTGGCTTGAAAAATAATGTTGTGTAAAAAAGAATCACAAATGCAATTACAAATACAATTGCATAAAGATGCTCTTAGTCATTCCACAGTCTACCTGGCCTGGGAGGTTCTGGTGAGGCGCGTGAGCCAACAGAATGGCGTCCATTTCACGCCACTCTAGAAAAATATATCTCTTAAAATACAGAAAAATATATAAAAAACCGGAAATTTCCTTTTTGACTTTGCTCTGTTTGATTGGTGTGCGGCGTCACCTATGGCCTATTGGGCTGCGCCAATGGCAAAACTTAAACGTGGACCAGATAAAACGAAAACAATATACAGGCCGGTTATCATCTAACAAGAAAAAAGAAAACGAAAACAAACGATCCGTAAAGAAATTCTGGTGGGACCCACATCAGAAGCTCGATCCGAGCCGTTGAACTGTTTGACTTTCTCCGAAGACTGGTCGAGTTCATGATTACAAGTATACAGCGTCTGTAGCGGATTTGCGAGAAGAGCAGAATTTAAACGCGGAATGGACTCAATTTCGCATCGATTCTCGGCTATAGCTTGCGGAGTCGAAAGGCAGTTTCTCTCATCTTCCTACTCTCAGATTCTCCGGTCGCCGGGTAGTAGCAGCAGAGACCAGCAATGTCCGGCGGTATCGCCCGCGGCCGTCTGGCGGAGGAGCGGAAGTCTTGGCGCAAAAACCATCCTCATGTTCGTAAAGCTACTTGTTTGTCACATGTTCTATCCGTTTCATATTTCCAGTTGGAGGGTTAATGGTAGATTCTGTCTTTCGGGATGGTTAATGACTTTAGGCCTCTGTTTGGCTTCCGTATGTGTTTGGAGTTTTTGGGTGTGAATTGCAGTATGATAATTGGAGTGTTTTTTTCTTCTTCTTGTGAAATGTTTAGGGTTTTGTTGCGAAGCCAGAAACTCTGCAGGATGGAACTGTGAATTTGATGGTGTGGCATTGCACCATCCCTGGGAAGGCTGGGGTAAGTTTCCGTTTCTTCTTTCTCTGTTGTCCTAATTTAGTAGTATTGTTTGTTAACCCGTCTTTCTGTAAATTGGGACTCTGTTTGGTTAAATTGGCGTTATCTTCTATATGCTATATCAGGGTTTGCTTGTTCTCGTTTCGAAGTGCTCTTGTGAACTGGAACATTGGATTTTGCACATTTTGATGGATCTGTGTGTAATTAGATCACGGGTCAGAAATTCTTGGAATGTGATGGCTTTTGACTCTATAGCCTGTCAACTTTAAGTTTCTTTTTCAACTCCTTCAGTTAGTGGTTACTGTGTCTAGGAGTAATATTGATACCCTTTCACATTGGAGAGGATAACAGTACTTGGAGAATGATTGTGGCGGTGGATTGGACACTTGCTTTCGCTAGTTAGCGGAGCTATTTTCATACAAGTTTTGAATTGATGACAGCGTATTGGATGTTTACTTGCATTTGTTATACTCTTCATGAATCGTTTTGCAGTTGGTTAATGTTATCCCTGGTAGAACTGAACCAGTGAACAGAAGTTTCGAATGGACAAGATAAATGTATATTTACTTTCGTGGCAGTACTGTTTTAGATTTTAGCAGCTTCACTCTGGTGAGTGCTTGACTGTGAAAAACCTGAGCAATCATTTGGTATTGAGGTAAGTACTCTTGAAGGTTTGTTTTTCGTCTTACTAATTGGTTTGTTAAAACTAGCTAGTCGTTTTTTCTGTCCTGCACATTTAGCTGCTTGTATTAGTGGTCTCTGTTTGCATGGTGTTCTGTTTGTCTATTACTTATGCTATCTTTGTGGTGACATTTAATTATTTTAGATTGCTGTAGTTGAGTTGGTTCCTGAACTCACAATTTATTTTCAAACACACTGTAGACTGACTGGGAGGGTGGATATTTCCCACTCACCCTCAACTTCAGCGAAGATTATCCTAGCAAGCCACCAAAGTGCAAATTTCCTCAAGGTTTCTTCCACCCTAATGTTTACCCATCAGGAACCGTCTGTTTGTCCATCCTTAATGAGGACAGTGTAAGTCCTTTTGGGTCGCTTTGTTTATGTTGCTGTTCAGTTATCTTGTTTTTTGATCTATTGAACCTGGGATAACATAATTCTCTGTTCTCAAATCGGTTGACATGCTAATGTAGGGGTGGAGACCAGCTATTACAGTGAAGCAAATTCTAGTTGGGATCCAGGACTTGCTGGATGCCCCTAACCCTGCTGATCCTGCACAAACTGAAGGCTATCATCTCTTCATCCAGGTCTCTAAAAACATGTTTCTCCCTCGACTTCAACCGAGCATTTTACCTATGATAAACTTTACACCATCTCTCGGTGGCGGGGCTAGCTTTCTTTTGTGGTTAAACCTTGGTTGGTTCTATTGCAGGACCCTACCGAGTATAAGAAAAGGGTGCGCCAGCAAGCAAAGCAATATCCTCCACTAGTGTAGCAGGAACCTCGTTGCTTCTAGTTTTGCTTCTCGTTATTTGGAAATTGTCAGTTGTTTGCAGTTGTGGACTGCTATGGCTTTGCTGTTGTCCGTGAAAAGAAACAAAACTGTTGGTGCTCAGTAATTGTGAATTGTGCCTCTATTTACTAACTGCATGGCTGAGCTGGCATTTTGTCACATCCCAGAAGTGTGGATTATTAACTTTGGTATATATATATTAAGTTTTATGTCAACAGTAAACCAGTCAGCCAAACAGTACTACGCAGTGGTATTTATACCCGAAGAATTTGTGACATTCTGAGTTTTAATGTGATTCTTGCTGATCCCCTGCTTCTCATGCTCTTCACCGTATTTCACTACTTGCAGCATCTGCATAAACTGTGTTGCAATTTGCATATTAGTATTACGATCAGTGGATGTGTAATGTGACAGGATCCCCAGAAATGCCAAGTTTCTGTTCCGATGGTTAGCCCTCGAGTTTTCTGCAGGTCAATGGCAACGGATCTGCAGCTGTCCGAAAGCAGCTGCTGGGTGGTAAACACGATCGATGGTGTGGCTCCTGTCCATGTCTTATCAAGCTACGTTTTAGTTTACATTTCTCAGTGCCTGCTGTGTTGAAAACACTTTGGCAGCTGTTCCTCAGTAAATTCCTCTTCCTTCCCGGACCCCGGTATAGCAGCAATCTTGCGTACTTCTCAAATGAAGCTTTGTTTCGCGCTGCATAACTTCTTTGGTGCGTTGAGGATCTCATTCTGCATTCATTCTTTACCTTTAAGCGATCGGTATATACTCGCACTTCCCGACTTCGGCAAGGAACATTTGATGTTCAAGTATGCTGAGCACTAAGAAAGTAATAAACCTTGCCTGTAATAAACGCCAAGTAAACTTCCGACTTGTGGGAAAGTTTATCCCTTTCCTGCTGTGTAAAGAAACAACGAGGGTAGTTTGGTCTAAGCGCTGAGGTTGCGAGTGTGTGACGACAGCAATGGAAGAGGGAACGAGGTTGTGATGGCAATGGGGCGGTGTGATGTGGGGCGGGTATCTCAATTCTCTTGTCTTGTCCCACGTTATTATAGGTCGGAGTGGGTAATACTCGTGCGGGTAGGAGGGGAAGCGGGCCGACCAATTATTACATGTTATTTGAAAAAAGTACACGCAAAATTTTAGTTTTTATGATGAAACGAAGTGGAAAACACTTTAAGAATGTAAAATAGTGATAATAGAATGGGTAATTGAATTTAAAAAGTTGAAAGATCGAGTTTACCTAGTTGGAAAAAAGTCAAAATAGGAAAAATATGAATAGATACTTGAAGAAATTGAGATAAAAGCAGTAAAAAACGAGGCGAGATGGAAGTAGATACCTATGGGGCTAAGATCAGGTGACTAAGGGGGGGTCCCTTAGTCACATAACTAAGTCAATCTCCACCCTTGCACCTCATTAAAATCCAATGGCCCATATTAATCCCTTGCGCCGTCTCCGGCCATGGTCCGCCCCGTCCGTTGCGCGTCTCCGGCCAATTTTTTTCCGCCGTCAATTTTTTTTCCGGGCAGGGGGAATTCCTGGGCAGGAGAGGTATTCTCATGCGGCCATTACCCCCGAGAGAGAGAGAGAGAGAGAGAGAGAGAGAGAGAGAGAGAGAGAGAGAGAGAGAGAGAGAGAGAGAGAGAGAGAGAGAGAGAGAGAGAGAGAGAGAGAGAGATTTTGTACTGTTAGTATGCTTTGTATTGTTTGTCGGTTTTTTTTTTGTAATGTTTGTACGCTTTGTTATTTTGTAATGTTTGTCGGTTTTTTTGTAATGTTTGTAAACTTTGTTATTTTTGTGTATCGTGTTTATCATTTTTGTCAACCATGTTTGTAATGTTTTTTATGTCTAAAAAACACCTGGGTTGACTTTGGGAAGGAGCTCCTCTATATAGGGATGGAGCCTCCAAAGTCAACCCGGGTGTTTTTTCAGTTCGTATGGATTGTCGGTATAGTTTGTCATTTTTGTCCACCATGTTCGTACTGTTTGTATGTCTAAAAAACACCCGAGTTGACTTTGGGAAGGAGCCCCTCTATATAGGGATGGAGCCTCCAAAGTCAACCCGGGTGTTTTTTCTTTTTGTATGGTTTGTATTGTTTGTCGGTCTAGTTTGTATTGTTTGTACAGTTCATACGTTTGTAATGTTTGTATGTTTTGTCGCTCTAGTTTGTACTGTTCGTATGTTTGTATGGTTTGTACTGATTGTAAATCCAGTTGGTATACTTTGTAATTTTCCATAATACCCAAACTACCCCTGTCATTAATTAAATAGCCCTTCCCACTTTTTAACCATTAGATTAATGTGTCCAGATCTAAGGGCTGGGAGGGGCTTAGTCAAGTGACTAAGCACCCCCCTTAGTCACCAGATCCGCTCTCGATACCTATGCCCTCTGAAGCTATTACGGGTACCCTCCCATCACGAGGGTGTTAAAAATAAAAGGGTTTTCCGAAGTTTAGAGGTAAGAGATAAATAACTGAATTCCACTTTGAATTCACGAATCTCATTTAGGACTTAGGAGTTGTTTGTGTTGAGATATATATTCTCGTCATGTATATGGGCTGTGGCCCAATTGGGATTTATAGTGTATAAGTAGTGTAGGCCTAGTTTATTAAACCTATCCATAAGCCGAACTCCCTGGCTCTATCTCGGTCGCGGCTAGGGTTAGGAGATTGTATATATGTGGATAATGAACCTTTTGCCAAAGCTAGGCTAGGGTTAGGATTAATAAACTAGGCCTACACTACTATGAATGATGTAATCCCAATTGGGCCACAGTCCATATAAGTGGTTACATCGTGGATTTTAACATAAAAAATTTAAAATATATAAATTTTAGAGATATTAAATTTTTTCTATTCAAAGAAATTTTATATCTTAATATGATTTGTGATTATTTTCGAGGAATGAAAAATGTATATTTTCTTCTTTATTCCTTTATTTTTTATTTTTCCCACTAAATATTCTTATCCATAAATTATCAATATTTATTACAAACTATCTATGACAAATTTTTTTTTTATCAATATTTAAGAGTAACTTTGTTTTATTAAGTGTAAAAACAACATTTGATATATTATTAGAATATAAATTTTCATTGAATGTTAACAATTCCATTTACCAAATAATGAAATTTTCAAAATCTTTTATCAACAATCTAAAGAATTCGAATCTTTAGATTGTTTAAAAGCTAGAAATTTAGACTTCAATTCTCCCAATGAGCCCTTAGTAGAGTCTATCATGAAATCCAACAAGTAAACAACCTACGGTTTTTTCAAATCTAAAGCCATTCAAAACATTCACCTTCTTTTCTAAATCTTCAACCAAAAGTTCTAATTTTTGAGATGCAACAAGTAGTATGTTTGTAGATTTGAGGGGGCATAAAGTAGTGATAGTAATGGGCAGGGCGGTTACCTCAATACTTATATCCGCCCGCATTAAGTGCGGCTCATGATGGGTAATACCCATGCGGGTTCATAACGAGCTAGGTCGACCCATTTTTATATGTGATTTGAAAAAAGGTTCACATTTAACTATTTGCCAATAACACAGGGAGAATACATTTTATAAATGAATGAGAAGTATAGTAGAAGAACAGTTGAGTCTAAATAGAGTATTGTAGAAGAACAGTTGAAAGACAGAGTATCAAAATTTATTTGGGATGAAAATATGATTTTAGAAAGGTAAATATAGGAAAAATACTTGTAGATATTGCTGCAAATCATGATCAACCAGGCGAGACGAGATGGAGCAAGTCGGAAGCAATACTCAAACTCCGCTGCACGCTTTTACAGGTAGGGTAATACTTGCCCCCAACATATCACGGCAGATCAGATCGTGGGGTTGGTTCAGATATTGCCATCACTAGTGTAAATCAATGGAAATTCATGTTTGGTAAACAAAATAGAGAGTGCAAAGTGAGGTGAAAAAATATTATTACATAAATATTATTTTATAAATTATAATAAAACAATTGTAATACTAGTGAAATATTAATACATTTTTTTATGAAGAATCATGCTAAGTTTTACTGGCGAAAGTGTCATTACATTTGCCTTTGGACGTTATTTTTTTTTTTTGATGGGCAATATCAAAAATTTTTATTAAGCTCTATGTGCTCCTTTACAACAAAGGAGGAAGCACATCTGGACCATTACAACCAGCAGCGAACTTTTACTGCTGCTAATTACTACTCATTACTACACAGCCATACAATAAACCAAAACTATACTACTCTCTGTTTTGCTAGCTAAAAATTACACTGCAATCTACATTCAGGGCTACATTGCCAAGTCTGGCTAACTCAATTGTCCTACGAACTGTCCTGATTAGCTCCCCAGACTGTACAGCACTCCCACCATACAATCTTCCACAGCGTTCCCTCCAAATCAAACTCACTACAAAGTTCCATACCAGTCGCCCTATCATGGCTGCAGCTTTCTTACCCTTGAAGGCTCGAACCGCCCACTGCAAATAATCTTCATAACGACTTAACTGAGGGCAAGTTAAGTGCAGCATTAGTAAACAACCCTTCAACACCTGGAATGTATAGGGACAATTGAAAAATAAATGGTCCCTGTCTTCTACATGAGCCAAACAAAACAAGCAATCTGCACTTGCCATGAGCTCTTAGCTCTTCGGGATGCTTTTAGATGGTGTTTGTCACATTCTTATACTATTGTTTTGCTGTGTGGTAATGCAAGATTATTATTTGGATGGTCAATATGCGGGATTCGTTGGACGGAATGGGAGGAGTTATACTGCAAGAGATTAAGGTACTACTATCATCATTTCACCATGCGTCGTTTCAGTGCCTTATAGGATTAATATGAGTCATATGACTGCCCAACTTATGAAAAAAAAAAAACCATTTCATCGTTGAACCGTACACTTATAGGTCAACGTTTTTTTCTTCATTTGATTTTGTGACATGATATGCAAAGGTATTGTATATTCTCGTGTATAAATAGTTTTCCCACTAGAAATATCAATGAGAAAAAAAATCATACTCAGCGTTACGAATAATTATAATTATATTAGAAGTATGCGTGTAACTCTTCATATAAAGAAGTATATAAATAATATAAAGCCATTCAATAAAAATATTATTCATTACTTCGATCTTCTGATATTTTGGGTTACTAAAACAATTGTATAAAAGTTAAAATATATTGGTTTGCTTCTCTAATGAAAGGTGCACGAAAAGAGAATAGTATTGTGCCCATATTAACATTTACACTTTTCACCCATCCACCATCCACCCCAACCATAAATAAATAAAAGTGTCGCGAGCCCCATTATTATATACATCTCATGGGAATAAGAACAGGTGACTAAGTCAATATCAGCCATTCATATAAGTTTTTAATATTACCACTCATATAAATTTTAATTTAATGGTTCTAATTAAAATCATTTAATAAAAGATAGATTAGTAATTACATGATTTATTTGTTAGTATGTTCTGTATGGTTTGTACAGTTTTATCAGCTAGTTTGTATAAACAAGGTACAAAAAGAGGACTGGCCAAAATAAAAAAATGCAGAAATAAAATCAGGAATAAATTACATGAAAACATAAATAAAACCAAATTTTATAATACAAAAATTATCCATATAACTAATTAAAAAATTATTTCTACTTTTTAATTGTTAAATTAGTGTGTAGATCTAACGGCTAGAAGGAGCTTAATTCCCATATACCCGCTAAAGGCAGTCTTACCGCTCTTGGACAAATTTTCCCATCCTTCCACCTCGTTCCGTCGTGCTAGCACATTCCATCAGCGAGCGACGGTCTCATCGTTGGATTGTAGCCCTTCGGAATAGCCGGTAACAAACTTCGGTGTCTCAAAGCAATGGTAAAGACCG